CATGCATATGGGGCTACTGGGTTTCAGAGTTGTAAAATAACCACTTTTTGCATTTGTCTAATCAGGGATTTATAAATTGCAAAGAGCATTCACATGTATGAGCTCATCTGAGTTGGATGGAAGCTGCCATTCACACCTCTGTCATCAAGACCAAAATACCTTGTGACTTCACTCAGCAGCTGGCTGAGGGGTGTGAGGAACTCAGCTACACAGGTAACTGGAAGGCTGGGGAGGGGACCTTGAACTTATCTTTGTTTGGTGGGAGCGACAGCAGCTATGGCTAAAGAAGTTGAGCAAAGCCTGGGGAACCATCAGATAGAAAACTCAGACTGTTCTGTTTGTGTTTTGTTTGAAATAGAACTTTACTATGTAGCCCCTGCTAGCCTTAAACTTACCTTCTTACTGCCTCAGCCTCTAGAGTGCTAGGATTACAGCTATGTACTGCCATAGCCAGCATTCTTGGACAACTCATTGGTACATCTCTTAAGCCAAGTCCAGGTGAGGTGGAATGGAAGAGGAAAGTACTCTGGGCTGGAGGCTCAGGGGAAAGGCAATTCTGTTCTCTTAGGTTTTGACACTTTAAAAAATTCATAGAGTTTTCTCTTTTTCTTCTTCTTTTTTTTTTTTTTTTCCAGGCTGACCTATTTTCCACTGCCATTATCATTCTAGTTTTATTTCCTCTTTGGGCTGGATAACCTTAGTTGTCAACTTGACACACCAGGGTAGAGGGAACCTCAACTGGGGAATTCCCTCCACCTGACTAGCCTGTAGCCATGTGTGTGGGGCATCTTCTTGATTATTGAATGATGTTGGTGGCCCCAGCCCATTGTGGGTGGTGCCACCCCTGGGCAGATTTTCCTGTATTATATAAAAAGCAGATTGGGCACAGGCCAAAAAACCAAGCCAGTAAACACGTCTCCATGGCCTGTGCTTCAGCTCCTGCCTCCAGGTTCCTGCCCTGAGTTCTTACCTTTGGCCCCCTCAGTGATAAACTGAGTGACCCAGAAGATGTAAGCCAAGTTGGTATTGGCCAGAGTGTTTTGTCACAGCAATTGAAGGCAAACTAGAACACTCTTCAAAATAATAAATACCCTTTGTGAAAAACTGGAGTTGAATTGTGTTTTTCTGAAACAGTTTTCTACATAGATGCTCATATCAAAATACTGAAGATATATGGTGCAGCAAGCAGCTGAAGATGCAAGTTAGGGTCAGGCAGGGAGACTAGAACTGGGACCCCTTGAAGGTAGGGAGGCTTGACAGCTTGCTATTTCTTGCACAGAACCAGAACATTTTTGCTTTGTGACCATGCTATAAGGAATGAATGAGTGGGGTTGTGGGAAGTGGATTAGTGATTAGAGAACACAGTTGTTATATACTTAATTTCATAGTACATTTCTGTCCACAAGATCCAGCTTTGTAAATGGATTATCTCACCTATTACCTCTCCTCTGCTTTCTCCAAATGCATTCTACCCAATAGAGAAAAACAACCCAATATACCATAACTTTATCTCTGAATACCCCAGCTAGGATGACTACACACATGAATCCCATGCACACATTCGTTGGTCTTAAGAAAAGAAGTTCTGACTTCTGCCTGTCCACACACCTCCCCAGTGTGTGGGATGTATTACTGCCAAGAGGGTCCTCCCTTTCCTCTCTGAAGAGGAAGAAGTTTATCTTCATTGACTTTGGAGTGCACTCAATGATGAGTCCTACCCAAGGCAGGGGAGACCAAGAAAATAGGAGGCGTGATCTTACAAAAGTGACCCTCTGCCTGGGTTAGATCATGCTGTAGGATGGTTATGATTTCTTCTATGTCAAAATTCTAGTTTAGAATGCTTAGATTCTTTCCCATACCAGTTTCTCAGAATTTCTTCATCAGTGGAATACTTCATCTTGTTTGGGTTCACTTTGATTGATTTATTGATTGATTGATTGATGATTGATTGACTGAGTATGTGTGTCTATGTGCATGTGTGTGTGTGTGTATTTATGTATGTATATGTGGGCAAGGAGACATTGAGAATCAAAGGTGGCGAACAACACTAATGATAGAGCTGTGAGCAACACTTGTGAGAAAAAAAAGAGTCATTTCATACTCTAATAAAAAGTTTAGAAAAACTCCCAAACTGAGGGTAGCCATGACACCTGTTGAGAAGGATGTATAGGGCTTCCCTTGGGAGACTGAACTGTGACATTTATTTTGGATGAATACATTAGTGAAGATAAAATTAGTCTCATGGCCTACACTGAAGCACAAAGAAGGACACAGGGTGACCATAGAGTCAATAATTTATCCCACTTAATGGAGGCATGTACTTTGTATGTTGACACCTGAATATGCAGCAACATTGAGGAACTGACAGCCATGTGACCCTACAGCGCCTCTCTTCCGAGTCTGCCAGTGGGAGCTTGCCTGACCAAGTCTTGTGCTTCTGAGAGGCCCAACACACAGAAAACTCTCAGTGAAAGTCCTAAAGAAAACGTTAAGGATTCAGAAGGGGAGGGGCAGGGACAATCCTCCCCAGCTTCTTTTCTGCTCGTTTCACATCCCTTTTTGTTCCTCTGAGGAGTGCCAGAAGGGGTTAGATTATTACATTAACTAATAATTCCTGGCTTTCAGCTCTTGCTTTATAACTGCTTTGAATATGGAACTGTGTTTGCTTGGGGAAAATGGGTCACAGATTGCTGAACGAGCTCCTCACCGTACAGTGGTTAAGAGCTGTTTGTTTTTCAAATACCTTAATTGTATGGTCTACCAGAAAAGAGCAGCGCTGAAAATTATACCTCTGGACTAACTGCAACCAGATGGACAAAAACAACAAGGCGTTTGAAAAAGATAAATGCCCCACAGTCCCCCTGTGGTTGGTTTTATCGCCAGTTAATTTTATAATGGCTTCTTCTGGAGCAGGGGTATAGTCCCCTGGGGTAGAGGCAGGCCCTCAACAAAACTCAAGCAGCTTCCAGAGGGAGGCCTCTCTGTGCAGCTGATTTGGCAAGAATTGGAATAAATGTGTTGGTTTGGGGCTAGAGTAGAAGGGAGGGGTGGTTGGAAAGTGGAATTGGAAGCCCAAAGGCAGCAGCACACCCCTCTTCCTTTCATGTTTCTAGCCCCCTCAGTCTGCAGTGCTTTCTGCCTGATATGCTGCAGGGGGTAGGGAAGTGTTGGTTCCTGGCGATGAAGAGGTGGAAAATATCCTATTAAATGGTCTGGTTGGTCATTGGCAGCTCAAAGATATAGAAGCCAAATTCACTGTTGGAAGAATATTCTATGTTGTTGGTTGAGGGTCATGTGGACACATCAGTGTTCTCAGAGTGAGGCTGACCTCTGGATCTTTGGTCCTTCTTCCAGGATCATAGTGTCCAGGCTACAAATCAGCCCTGCGGATATGCCTTAGAACACAAGTGACCAGCTTGCTGGACTGTTTTCAACCCACATGGTTTTATTATATGTCATTCTTATAGTATAGAGTAAGCGCTCTGGATTCAGGGACATGTGGGGAGAAAGTCCTGAAAGAAATGCAGGCAAGGAACTCATTGACCCTCTTCTCATGGGACAGCTGTGGAATCAGGGACTAGTTAAAGACTTCATTTTGGAAAAGTGTTCCCTTCCCTCCCCATCCTCAACTCTGACCTCATTGCCAACCAACAAGAAGTCCTTGAAAATTAAGGGCAAGGAACTTGAGATGCTTTAAGCACCTTGTTAAGGAAAAATAAATAAATGAGCTGAAGCCATGGAGCATGCACCCTCGGGAGGGAGACCAGTAAAGTTGAAACAAAATGTTCTGCAGTTACCAATGCTGCTTCTTTCCTTCTAGAACAATCTCCTTCAAATCTTTCTGTTCTCTATGCTTACATGATTTAAGTGGTAAGTGGCCCATTATCCAAAATAAACTTTCCCTCCCTTTCTACAGAAGGCTTTTGCTTTTGTCTGAAATCTTTGCTTATGAGCTCTCCTCCATCTGAAAAATTATCAGGCTGTATACTTTAAATGTTTTCTTTCATGTGTATCAATTAAATCTCAATGAAGCTGTTTTTTTTTTTTTCAAACCTCTAACTTTTTAGTCTGAACTTATGCTGAATCACAGACTTCCTTAAGATTCTGTGTGTGTGTGTGTGTGTGTGTGTGTGTGTGTGTCTGTGTATGTGTGCAGTGTGTACATGTTTATGTGGGTTTGTACACCTGTATATGGAGGACAGAGGTCAATGTTGATTATCTTCCTCAGTCACTCTCTGCTTTATCTTTTTTTTTGAAGACAGTCTTTCATTGAACTTAGAGCTCTCTGATTCAGGTACGCTGGCCAGTGGGCTCCAAGGTTCTGTTTGTCCCTGCCTCTACCACAGATTACAGGTTTACCCTGCTACATCATGCTTTTTATGTGGCTGCTGGACATCCAAACTCATGTCCCCATGCTTGTGTCACAGGCACTGAGCCACCTCCCAAGCCATTCCATGGGACTTTAAAATACCAATCAGTGAGATATGCAGGTGATCTCACAGTAAAATTTGCTAAGTTTTAATATATGTATACATCCATCCTAATCACTATAGGACATCTCAACCACCTTAAAATTTTTCTTTTGTTCCTAGATCTCACTGAAACAAAAGCTCTGACCAGAGCCCCTGGGGAGCTCCACATGACACAAGAAAACTTCTGGTTTTTATCAACATGAATGCTAGTTTTTCCTTTTCTAAAACTTCATAAAAATAGAAGTATACATTGAGTACTTTTATGCCTTCTTTCATTTGAGTTATTGGCTCTGAGATTTACTTGTTTCTATAGTTAATTCTTTTATATTGTGGCACAGCACACCATTGTATGAATAACAATTTGTTTATTCACTCCTCTGTTCATGAACATTTGAACTAGTTTTAATTCAAATCTGACCTAAACATCCTTGTATAAATCTGTCTGCAGATGTTTGTTTTGTTTCTCTTGGATAGAAGAGTGCTGTATTGCAGTGTTCATGACAGTGTATATTTAATTTCAGATATAATGCATATACTATTAAAACTTATTTTTTGTACTTCACTGTTCACACTAGATTTATGGGAGGGTATTTCATCATCAACCAGTTCTCCAACACAAGCTAGGACTCCTGAAATTCAATTATTGTATAGCCTGGAATTAATGCAGACCTTACAGGTTAAGATCTCTAATCCATGAAATTGTCTCTCCTGCTCCCCTGTTTGAAGTATC